TGTGCGACATCCAAAGTTTCAGATTTTCCAACGCTTTTTCCAAAGGTTTTCAAGCAAACATGCTCCTCCGCAACAGCTGGCAGCTTCAAGTAATTTCGAAGCCTTTCCGTTATATAACTTCGATGACTTCCAGAATCATAGATGATTCTTGCAATAATTTTCCTTCCCGGGTTTGCAGGATTGTAAACTTCTGCTTGAGCAGTTTGCAGCAATATCGAAGGCTTTGATTCCACAAAACAGTTGGTTGTTTCTTCTCTATGAGTTCCGGATTCCGTTTCTTGCGATTTCATCGGTTTTGTTTGCTGTTTCCCTTTTTGGCAAAGACTAATGTGGTGTCTTCCATTACAATTATAGCAAAGGTTTTTTGACACACAATTAAATGCCAAGTGACCCTTCCTCAGGCAAATGAAACATCTCCCTTCTTTGCGTAGAATGCTCATTCTTGCTGTACGATTTGTAATGACTTTACAGTCGTTGGTTTTATGCCTTCCTTTGCAAAACGTACACTGAACTGTTCCACTTTGTGTTTCGTTTACCAGAGCACTAGCCGTGGGTATCCATTTGGACGCCTTCTTCATGATGCTTAGTGCAGTACTTCCATCGTAACCTGCCAGGTTTTTGCATCTCTCGCGTGCCTCTAATTCTACTTTTAAAATGTCAAGTAGTATTGCGAGATTCCATTCCTCATTTCCGATTTTACGGCTTATTTCCACTTGCAAATCTGACGGCAGTTTTTGTTGTAATACGGGAATAAGAAGAGCTCCATACTGTGCACTATTAATCCCAAGGCTTTGTAGCCCTCTAATATTTGCCTCTATCGAATCATATAGTTTGCGTAATCCATGTACATCAGTTGAATCCGAGCAAGATGGTAACTTCATCAGTGCTTCCATGTGGCTGTTTATAATGATTTGCTTTTGTCCGTATCTTGCTTTCAATATGGAAATTGCTTCCAAATAGTTCGACATTACCACAGGCAATCCAGTCAGGGCCTCGGCAGCCTCTCCCTTCAACAATCCGACTAAATAGTGAAATTTGTTGATTGTTGCAACGTCATCGTTCTCATGAACGGCAGAGCTGAATCCATCCCAAAATTGTTGCCATTCCTTTGGGTTTCCCGAAAATTCTCTAAGCTTTATAGGCTGTAGTTTTACTTGTGCCCTGTTGTTTCTTTTGCTCGCTGTACTAGATTTTGTACTTGTCCCATCGTTATCTTCTGCTAAAATGTAGTCGATTTCGATTACAGTTTCTTTCATACCGTCTCTAAATGCAGCGGCTTCCGTCACCTCATTGTCGATTTCTTCATCGTGCGCTTCTAGTAAAATTTTTTCGTCCAAATCTCTCAGCGTATCTAGTCTTTCCAAGATCGACTCTTTCAAGCTTTTCAGTTTATTCGTTTTTGAATCCGGATCAAAGTCTTTCATCAGTTCTATCGCTTCCTTCTGGATTTTTGAGGCGTATCTTCTGGTTGTTCCGCGAATTTTCTTTAACTTTTGTATATCTACTTCCATGGCCATATCCGACAGCTTGGTTCAGTGTCAATTATCCGGCTCGGTGGACCACTTTATATCAAATATGTATAAAGATAGAATATAATTCCTATTTTCATGTAGGGCTAGGCCCTCGTTCTGTATTTCCTAATGCTGATAAGACCGTATTCCTCTCGTGCTGTTACGCACGTCCGTTCTCTACCCTTCTTTCCGAACTCTCCTAATCTAATCTAACACGTTGCTACATACACAAGCGCTGTCAGCGGAATAATAAATTTTAATAACGCGTCCATTTCGCAACATAACCGAGAGATTAAAATACTTTATTATACTAGAGTCCAAATTCCATAACAACTCATAGTGGAAACCAAGCTTAAAGCTTCTGAGAGGAGTAGTTGCAATCCAGAGATATTTGATGGGCATAACGCGATCTTTTGACATCAATACCAGTAAGAACCGCCTCTGCTCTTCCAGGAGGGTTGACTTCAGCCTTTGACAAAATTTCTACCCATCCATTTCCTTCCAACCAATCCCCAATTGCATTCAAAAATGCCATTTCTATGTGAAGTCCACCCAACATCATTACAATCTTCTCAATAAATATCTGGATACGTCCATTGTACTTGCTTACCTAGCGCATATATAGGCTGATCGGCAGTTATGATTGGACACTGATCAGGATTGACTTTCAACAGAATCTTGTTTGACAATGTCCATGGTATGCCGAACCATGGCAGTAGAATTATCGCTGTCATCCAGTAATGGGAGGAGTGTTGATAATGTCTTCACTGGCCTGATAACTGACTTGCTAGAATGATAACCGGACCAAGAGATACGATTTTGTATGTACTATGACATGTTGTCTTCATGTAATGAATTCAGCTTATAAAGCCAAAGGTTTGCTTCACTTTTTGCATCAAAACGAGTACTTCCACACATGTTTACACACTGAAGAGGATATTCGGGTGCAAAGGACTCAGTGGGCGGTAGCATTGTATAATTATCTGGTAGTTGCAGCTTTGTGTCAGAATCTTCTACGTCAGGTTGTACTTCAAGTTCTGTGTCATCTACGAAAACTTCTGGGTGCTGAAAAATCGAGATGCTCATGCCATGAAATGACTTTTTTGAAGTGGCAGAGGATGGATTATGGTCTATTTTATCTATTGCTGAAGTTGTGAATATATCTGTTTTAAGACAGGGGGGACAAACACACTCATTTTCTTGATATTGTCTACAAAGCTGCTTCATGATCGATAGTTCCATGTCTTTAACCCTATCATATGAAACAGACAAGCCCTGTCTTGCAAATAAGCTCACTAAGGTCTTTTTTGCGTGTTTTGGAATGAATCAGCAATCCAGTGTATATAGGAAAGGGGTTCTCCTGATCTTGCGAATGACGAGAAAACTCTGTTACAGCATTAATGCGTCTTTTCTCTTTCACCGGCATTCTGTTACAGCATTAAACAAGATTCTGTTGAAAGTCAATCCTGATCAGTGTCCAATCATAACTGCCGATCAGCCTATATATGCGCTAGGTAAGCAAGTACAATGGACGTATCCAGATATTTATTGAGAAGATTGTAATGATGTTGGGTGGACTTCACATAGAAATGGCATTTTTGAATGCAATTGGGGATTGGTTGGAAGGAAATGGATGGGTAGAAATTTTGTCAAAGGCTGAAGTCAACCCTCCTGGAAGAGCAGAGGCGGTTCTTACTGGTATTGATGTCAAAAGATCGCGTTATGCCCATCAAATATCTCTGGATTGCAACTACTCCTCTCAGAAGCTTTAAGCTTGGTTTCCACTATGAGTTGTTATGGAATTTGGACTCTAGTATAATAAAGTATTTTAATCTCTCGGTTATGTTGCGAAATGGACGCGTTATTCAAAAACGGGAATGTTGTTGGATCCAACATAACTTCCTTGGATGTTATCAAGAACTTCACCAAGGGCAATAGCTTCTGTGATAGACTGTTCTGAATCTTCTTTTGCACCCAAACTTTCGAGACGTCCAATTCGATTGTACAGCCCAGAAAGACATGCTTTATGGTACACAGCTTCTTCTGCAACTAGGTCACCTTCACTTAACTTTGCAAGGAGTTTTTTGTCACAAATTTTAACTGCTGCATCGCGAACCTGTTCATCTAGACCTAGCGTTTGGGCTTTTGTTAAATGGTCTGGTGTATCTTCTTTGTCACAAAAGAAACAAGTTAGACGAAAGTTTTCAGCGCTGTATCTTGCTCTGATACTAGGAGAAGAGGAACAGTCAGGCTGAGGTACATCTATATGCTTTCTTTTCTTAAGGGCACGCTGGAAATGCAGGTTGTCATACTTGTTTCTACAAATTTTGTGATATTTTGCTTCATTTGTTGCAAGAATGTCAACAAGTTGATGGCAGTTGTAGATGCTGATCCTTTTTGCAACTGGCAGTGGTAGCTCACCAATCTCAAGAAATTTTAGCAGCTGCTCAGCAATGGTACTATAACCTGACAATTTATCAATCTGGTTGCTTTTTTGCGCTGGACAAATAAGCTGATCATCTCCTTCTTCTTGGCAAATAAAACATTTACTCCAGACGGACTGCGTTACTCTCAGAAAGTCACTTGTAGCGTCAAGCAAAGAAAACTTTTTCTTCGACATTGGACAACATAGAATTACCTACCTGAAAGTTCCTTCGAGTGAAAACAATGAATTGGAAGCCCGAGATTTATTTTGATTCAGAAGCTATCTAGGGCTTCGTAAAAAATCTGTCAACAGCTTAAATTAACTCTATAACAGCTTTTTAGCCCTCCACTGTCAAAGCATGATATTTCACAACCCGCATGTTAATCTAAGACTACAATCCTGGCCAAAAGGTTAGTGGACTGGTGAAAAAACCAATAAAATTGCAACTTGACCCCAACAATATTATCAAAACCCCCCACCCCTGAAGCAATCGAAAAGCAAGTAACAGCAATCGAAAAGAGTAGAAATAAGCGTATCAACATTGACAGTGGGGGGCCGGGAGCGTATTTTTCCAAAAATACTACAATTTTCCCGCCCAGTCCAATAACTTTTGGCCAGGATTGTCTGATTTCTAAGCAGAATGAAAATCTATCATAGCGGTTTTTTATGTATCGGAAAGAGCTACTAGGCGTCTAGACATGGTTGTCCAATGCTAAAAAACTAGGAAGCTGGTCTTTTAGGGCATTTTGTGTTGAATCTTCATAGAAATTAAAGAATTTCGAAAAGCTGCACTTGACGTAGAAAATCGGAGGAGACGCGATATGTCTACCTAAATTGATTAGAATCAAAGTTCTCTACGTATGTGGAGGGTACAAAATTAAAATGGGAAATATATATACGGGTGCCCTTCTTGGTCAAGTAACTACAAATAATGGGTTAGTATGGGTTTAATAGTCTACACATTGCGTTTTGCCTCAGACTTCGCTATTGTAGTACGTACATTGAATTTGCCGTCGATCTTTGTATACGAAAGATTAGTTGATAACATGTGAAAGTTTAAGAGAGAAAGAAATTGGCAAATGCTATCTGATATCCTACAGCAGAGTAAATGCAGCCAAATTCCCAGCAAGAGAGTCAGTTGTAGAGAACAGAAATACAATAGCTCCGTCGAGAGAGAAAAAGAAATAATGGCTGTAAGATTCGAGTTTACCCATCATATACAAGCAGATAAACATAAAACATTTCAAGTTGTCCTCGCTACTTTGCAGAACTGACAATGAGTGCCATCAATGTCATATTTAGTTTATTTGAAAATGTCACGAGTTACCAACGGATTACCAACGAGTTACCCTAACGAGTTACCTTTTTTAATAGTGGTTTTATATGGGAATACCACGAGTTACCATGACTTTTTTAATAAATATATATATATTATATTTATAAAGAAGCTGGTAACTCGTTGGTATCTCGTATACATCCATACTGAGGTCTGCAAATGTAGAATGTAACCCGTACAGTAACTCGTTGGTGACTCGTGGTAACTCGTGATCATTTTCCCAGTACGGCACAAAAGGCTCCTTTTTTCAATGTTATATATTAGCGCATGCATAAAAATGGATTTGTTGTTATAAAATTCCAAATTGCAAGTTTTGATTTTTTAAAAATGAAATTTGAAGATACATTAACACTATATGTCTAGTAGATTTTTATCACCTTAACCCCTCCCCCCGATTTTGAAAATCTTTCAACCCTGAACACTTGTATTCGAGACCCCCTAATATGAAAAAATTAGACTTTAACAAACCGGCCAAAAACTTTCAACTGTACCCGAGAGTACATTTGCCCTTTAATAACCATCATTCGACTTTTCTAATAATTTGTGGGTTCTACTTTACCATTGTCTAAGTAGTAATAATTTTCTCTATGGCATCTCTATTCAATTGCTGCTTGACAATTCCAAAAAATCAATTAGATTTAGGCCTGGGCTTCAAGGTAGAATTGACACAAGTTGTGAATTCGATTCCTGCATGACCTCTTTTGCTTGCTGAATATAAAATTCTTCATGATTGGACCCACCTTTCTTAAATTGCTCCTATTTTAGGTTACAAAAAATGATACTTCCGCAAATTTTCATCTCCCCCCTTTACCTCTATATTAGACAATCCTGGCCAAAAGGTTAGTGGACTGGTGAAAAAACCACTAAAATTGCAACTTGACCCCAACAATATTATCAAAACCCCCCATCCCTGAAGCAATGAGGATTGATGACGCTGTCCTTGGGATACATGGTAGGGTACATCCACTATTTTCGTGTGTTAAGTCGAAAAGTAACATCAATCTTCATAAACGTGATAAAGATGAAATTTAGAGACAAAATGAATTTTTTTCAAAATTACGAGGATTGATGTCGCTGTTTTTGGGATAGATGGTAGGGTACATGCACTTATCTTATGTGTTCAGTCGAAAGGTAACATCAATCCTCGTAAGCGTGATAAAAATGAAATTTAGGAACAAAAATGACATGTTTTTAAAATTATGAGGATTGATGCTGCTCTCCTTGAGAGACATGGTAAGGTACATG